TGTAATCAAAACTGACTTACAAAAGCTGTATCAATAAGGGACCTCATATGTTATTCTGCTGGCCATTAATTTTTGTAAATGTAAGGAAAAGCTTGATTTGTTAACACATTGCCGATCGATAGGCGAATTCTCCCCCGTTTTGAAAAATGTCAGCGCACGACCGATCGGGGAGATCACCCCGCTATAAAAAATTTCAGTGCACGACCGATCGAGAAAATCTCCCCGTTTGACAATGTAATGCAATAGAGTATTGCATACACGGTTTTAAGTATATTAAATATATATATATATATATATATATATATATATATTATATTATATATTTTGATGCTCTCTTCCCTTCGTTGATCGCTATATATAACGGTATATCAGGAATATTTGTGCTGACGAAATATTTCTAATATTGGATTATATAGCTTATAATATCATCGTATACAATTTCAGTCTGAATATAATTTTTGTACTGAGCAGAAAAACAACTCTGTATTTATTTTTGTAATATAATAAAAGACTTCAATAAAATGTCCCAGGAAATAGAAAATGATTTTGATGAATTTAACGTTGATACTGAATCAGAATTTTCAGAAGACGATGTTGATACCGACACCGAAGATATAGTGATGTGGACATTATCACACCAGGAGTGCATTGGACAGTGCCCATAGTAAAATATCACTTGTATAAGCTGGAAATTTTTGGTTTCCTTTGTGCAGATTTCTGTTTGTTTCATAGACAATTTTATCTTAAAATTTATATATGAGAGGCTCAGAAGCAAAGTGGCCTAACACTGACTTCCAAAATTTTTGCCACAATATTTAAGGTTAAGCTACTTTTACACTGAAAAAAAAATAAATAAATTTTGGGTTTTAGGCCAAAAAAAAAATATTTGACATTTTTTGTCGGTAAAATTAAAGTTGGGATCAAATTTCATATAAACTTCTAACAAAAAAAAAGCGAAAATTTTGGAAATGAAGATTTTAAATTAACTAAAATTATTATTCAATTTTATACTCATAAATAATTTCTTAATAAAAATTCTGAAAGACGTGAAAGAAAATTAATAATTTCATCATTTTATACGAATAACAACTGCATATTAATGAAAATATTGTGAATATTTATTGTGAATATATAAAGAACAATTTCATTGATTTAACGCTACATTTATCGTGAATAAAATATATGACACCACCAAAAAATTTTTTAAAATTCTATACTATCTTGCCAGTTACTACTATCTCTCGCTATATTAATTCGATTTGCTTTTATTTATTTGAAAATTTAATCTTAATTACAATTTTATATTATTAAAAATAATTCACAATTTTATCAAATTCTCAAGAGAGTTAATTTAAACTTTACATTTGCATTTGAAGCATTGAATTCAAATTAAACATATTTGCTGTCATCCCTTTTACACAATTCGTTTAATGCGCCTATAAGCAGGCAATTTTATTATTATTATTTTACTAAAACCAGGCGTGTTAATATTCTCTCCTCTCTCAAATTCCATTTTAATCACTTAATTATAAAAAAAACCCAAATTTTATTAATGTTTTATTTTTTTTACATTTTTGCAAATTAAAAATGTTTTCTTTAAAGAAAAGGAAAATTAAAAAATTAATGTTAAATAAAAGAAAATATTTTACCATACACACATATACATATGTATGTATGCCTCCCTATATGTAGAGTTATATAGCATGGAATGAGTAAAAGAAAAGTTTAAGCAATGATAAACTAAAAAAAAATTTTTTAGATTTTTTTGTAATAAAAAAAAAAAAAATAACAAAAAAAAAGGAAATTAAAATTGACACAATATGGAAAAATAATTAAATTCAAAAGTCTTTATGTGTCTACATGCACATAAATCCAAAATCATTATTATGGTTCAACAATTCACATAAAGACAATAGTAATGTACAAGGTGTTTTTTATTCTTTTTCTTCTTCTTATGATAGGCCTTAGTCCTGTGTTCAACTATAAAATCAGCCATCTTGAAACAATGATGTCCAACTGTAATAGCACCTTTTGGGTAGCCTTCCTACTGAGTGTCATTGCATTAATATGTTGATGTGTTACGATTTTTGCCAGTCTATTGTGTGACATTCTTTCTATGTGATCCCGCTAGAAGTGACTTCTTGACCTAGACCACCCTACTACATCTTGGATTTTGCACTCTTCTCTTATAATGCTTCTGAGTCGGTCTCATCGTCATCAATGGCTCTACAACCCGAACTGGATCTTGGCCTCCTCTAAAATTTGCCTCCATCGGTCTCGTTCTTGCGCCAGAGTTTGTCAGTTTCGTGCGCCTATTCGCCTGGCATCGTTATCCACGTAGTCGCTCCATCTTAATTTAGGTCTCTCTGGTCTTCTGGACCTTTCAGGTCTTTGTAAAAATATCTTCTTTGTGGGGTGGTTCTCTTCATGTCGGCTCTTTATACAATTCATACAACTCATTGTTGTACTGTCTTCTCCATACTTGGTTTTCTTGCTTTGTTCCATAAATCTTGCGGAGAACCTTTCTTTCAAAAATATTTAAATGGTTTTCTTGTTCTTTAGTTGATACCCAAGTTTCAGAGTCATACGAGTACAATAATACTGAAAGTATCAAAGTTTTATACAATTTTATTTTTACTTGTTTATCAACTAGGCGTGAAGATAATTTCTTGTATAGGCCATAATAACATCTGTTTGTCAGGATCAGTCTTCTCGATACTTCGTCTGCGACGTTATTTTGATTGTTAACTAAGGAACCTAAGTAAACAAATTCTTGAACCACTTCAAAATTATAATCATTTACTCTTATATTTTGGTCATTTCTTTCTCTGCGTGTTGATATCATAAATAGCCCTATAGTTTATAATATTAAAATATGGAAGTAAATAATGAAAATTCTTCTTCATATACAAGTGAAGAACAGATGGATAACGTGTACAGTCAAAGCAATGAATCAAATCAAAAACATTAAAAAAATTCTCTACTCAAACAGAAAACTGGTACCTACCGCTTTTTAGAGGCAGACTGTACAGCTACAGAGTTGCATATGATGAAATTATCATTAGCGTTGGTAAATTATATTTCAAAATATTCTGGATTTATTTTCTTGGACTTGTCGCACACTTGACGCTCACACTTTGCCCTTGAAAACACTCATAATTTAATGAAAAATTTGGAATATTAGAGAAATTGAATTTTGGGGAAAATTTATTATGAAAAATAATTCATCAAATCACCCTATCATTTTATAAGGTGGTCATACAAGTATCTTAAAATATGTACATACATACATACATTCATATATTTATGTTAAAAGTTATATGTGTGTATTTTATTTTTTTTAACTCTTGTCATTTTTTTTATTATTATTATAGGTACATTAAATATTTTTTTTTTCAATTAAACATGGTTGAAAATAGATTAAATTTGTAATAAAATAAAAATAATGTTTTTTAAAAGAGAGAGAGAGAGAGAGAGAAACTTAAAAGAATGTTGCGTGTTGCACGAATTATTTATACATAAACAAACATACATACACATAGAATTATAAATATAAAACAAAAATTAAAAAATTTACAATGAAATATGACTTTTTACTGACATGACAATATACAACCCATGTATATACGAGACTTCTACATCCGAGTACTCATACACACATTGTATACCATATTTCTTTTTAAATTAAAACATAATTATGTCAAAATTTTGCAAAAATGGTTAAAAGTTTTTAAACAAAGGTATACGTAAATGATTTCGTCCCAGTGAAAAATTTCAAAATGGAAATTTTAAAAATTAAAAACTAAAATAACTCTTAATTAATTTCAGCTATCAAAACTTTAAATATACTCAAAATTAGGTGGTATAAAAAAAAATTGAGATATAAGAGAAATGAGAGAATTTTTAATATGCACGAGTATATTCAATTACATACTTACATAATTATGTGAATCTATCAAAATATTTTATGAGCGTACATTCCTTTCTTTCCTTGTTAATTTCAAATTTTCTTTTCTGAATGAAATTGTGAATAGACCCTAATTTAATAAATCTTTTAGAGGTTCTATTAGTTAGCATATAATGTAGAAGATATCTTTGTTAAAACCAAACATATTTAATGTTTTTACGTAAATTATAAATTAAATATTAATACACACATAAACAAATACTTTTAATAGTGGGGATTTTCTTAATCAATTTCTACTTTAGCACGGTATGCATTTGTAGAAATAAACTCAATATTGTGTTTGATTTTGAATTTTGTATAATAATGATGAAGACTGAAGAGATGGAATTTCAAGTTTTCAAAAACAAAAACAAAATATTTTTTGTAAGTTTAATTCCATTCTAAAATTTTCGAAGTTAATAAATTTTATTTGGTGAAAATATGATTTTAAAAGGTTTTTGATTTTTTTTAATTTTACTTTTTATTACTAGATGGCAAATTATTTAGTTTTTTAATATTATGTGGTTAAAATGCAAAATAATTAAAATCGTATAATTTTACGATATGTAAAATTATACGATTTTAATTATTGTAAAATTATGTTACATCCGTTATCTACTGGACATTAGAATTATGACAAATAAAAAACTTTTTCCCACATTATTGCTAAGACTAATTTGGGTTGTTGTTTATGATATTTTTGTTTTTTCTAATTTTGTACTAAAAATTTTTTTTATATTTTAATGTTGTATAGCAGTTAAATTAAATAATTATCCGTTTAAATTTATTGTATTCTTATTCACTCTATATATTCGTATATCTTTTCATAAATGTTTACAATTTTCGGAAATGTAAAGTACATAATTTACTTGCTTCTAATTTTTCTCTTATCTAAACATGGAATTCAAGCGTTAAAAATCTAAACTTTATTCAAATACAATTAAAAAAGCTTTTAGGTACACGTTTTTTCTTACTGTCATAACAAATAAAAACTTTCACTACTCCCTCCAAATATTTTTGAAGTTTTTTTTTTTTAATTTGACATAAACTTTGACATATATTTAATATTTTTATCGCTTTTTTTTTAATTTAATCTATGCTTAATTTATTCAGTAAAAATATTGGCATTTACTTAAAAAATTATAAACAATATTCAACTAAAATGAGTTTAAATTTAGCTAAAAAAATTGCTGCTTATAAAGCAGTTGATGAATGGGTAAAAGATAAAACAGCAATTGGTATTGGAAGTGGGTCAACTGTTGTTTTTGCAGTACAAAGATTAGCTGAACGTGTTCATAATGATAATTTAAAAGTTGTTTGTGTTCCAACCAGTTTTCAAGCAAGACAATTAATTATTGAAAATGATTTAGAGTTGAGCGATTTAGATCGTAATCCAATCTTAGATATTGCTATTGATGGTGCTGATGAAGTAGATTGCGATAAAACATTAATTAAAGGTGGTGGTGGTTGTTTGTTACAAGAGAAAATTGTTGCATCTTGTGCTGAAAAACTCATTATTGTGGCTGATTATACAAAAGATTCAAAGAAATTAGGACAACAATATAAAAAAGGAATACCAATAGAAGTTGTACCAATGGCATATATACCTATTCAAAAAAAAATTGCAAAAATGTTTGGAGGTGAATTAAAATTAAGAATGGCTGTAGTTAAAGCAGGTCCATGTGTAACAGATAATGGTAATTTTATCTTAGACTGGATTTTTGATGAAAATACTATTTATAATTGGAGTAGTGTTAATAGAGAATTACTCTTGATACCAGGTGTTATTGAAACTGGTTTATTTATTGATATGACAGAAAAAGTTTATTTTGGTATGGAAGATGGCAGCGTTAAGGAAAAAATTTAATATAACTTGCAATATATTTCTTTTAATTTTTATATTTTGATATATTTTTTTTATAATTTTGCGGAAGGTACTTATAAATACCTAGGCTTGCTCGAATGAGAATAATTTCAATAAATTTTATATTTTTTTTTATAGAAAACTAAAAAATTTTGTTTGTGTTATTCAAAAATTAAACTTTGTATAAACATAGATACATACTTAAAAATATAAAAAATAGAAAGTAATAATTCAAAGTTTAAAGGTTAATGAAATTAAAATAATTTCATGGTCATTAGGTTGTACGTATTATAGTGAATTTATAAACTGCACCATCGAAAATTCATTAAATCAAACATATTGATAATATTTTCAAAAAGACAAACCAAATATATTGCAATAAATAGATTATTATCTACTTACATTTTTATTCTACAAAAATTCTAAACCTTATTTACAGAAAATAGGTTCTGCTTAATCTTATTATTATTCGGAGTTTAAACTTAAATCTCACCAATTTGGTAGGAATTGTTTCTAAAATGATTTTTTCACTCGTTGGGGTAATATAGACTCTTTTGCATAGTTGAAAAACGTAAGTAATCCTAATTTCTTTCCTTTTTTGGAAAAGTAATTTGTCACGACGTCGTGATTATCTAAAAAGAATTTTTTTTAATGGGTACTAAAGTCTAGAAGTGTTTGACATTATTATTATCTTAAAATATTACCTAATAATGGAGTTTGTTCATTTACAGTCGTTGGTAAGACATTGTTATTTGCACTCAGGGATATAAATAGAGCAAATGGTACAAGCCATAAGCATAAAGTGAAATAAGCCATTACCTAAAAAACATCATCAATTTATAATTTATATATATTTGTTGGAAATAAAAAAATTACCTCTGAAAAAGGATAATAAATTGTAGCAAATTCTCGGAAAGCTAATATATGATTTATTATTAGTAATAAAACTGCTCCAAGAAAGGAAAATGAGAAAAATTCTACATAGGGAAAATCCTTCATTATAATAAAATGAAAAAGTTGTTCAGTTAATCCGCACAAAACCATAGTCCAGGGTAAATCGTCAACAAAAATAAATAACACATAAATTGAAGTTGTAAATATTACAAGCCATGAAATAATTTTTTTAGCTATCACAGTGTATTCCTCTACTAATTCTGCTAAGTAATACAAACCGGCAGCTAAAATTAAATTCCAAATGTTATTTTATTCTGTATATAATGCAAAAAAATATTCAATTGTAAAATTTTCATTTCTTACCAATAGCTATTGTGATGAAACATATTTGAATTATTGTAGATATATAACTTAAAATATATAAAAACGTCATATTTAAATATAACAAAATTTTTTTGGGCTTTAGTTCAACATTTTTTTTTTTAAACAATAACAAAATTTTAACCCAGGAAAGTAAAGTGTCAGAGCGCTTCTTCAATCATCATGATTGAAACATATATCATCATCAAATATCCCAATAAACTATGAAAAATCACTAGCATAGAAATATACTTCAGTGTTTACTGGTAAAAAACTTTGAATTTTAAAAGGGGTTAGTTACAGTATTGTAATACAGTATTGCCGCCGTACTGGGAATATCATGAAATAGTATTTATGAGAAGCTGCACTTAAGATCTTGTACGTGCATAATCTGAAAATTTGAACATATTGATAAATTTTACTTTATTTGTTTTTATTAAATAATAAAATTATAATAAATTTAATTTTGCCTTTTTAAATCATTTTGTTAGTGGTTTACGGTTTCGAAGTTTAGGTAGGACCTGAAACTTCAGAAAACATATTTGAAACTAATTTAGCAGTTTCAGAATATAAGAAATATATTTAAGATTTAGTTTTATACATGTAAACATATTTTTACAGCACTTTAATCTCAATTTCTGTATTATTAGATTTGATGACGAAGACATAAAAAATTTTGAATCTTTTTGGGTATTCATTTATTTATTTATTTTTCAAATAAGGTAATTTAAGAATATAAATCTATGGTATAATATTTAGAATTTGAACTAATATTTAGTTATACATGCGAATGTATGAGTAAAGGTCATATGTATATTATTTAATGTAAAAACACGAGAAAAAACATTTTGCGTCTTTTTTTTTAAATTTATTTCACGATTTTACAATGGATGGCAATACTGCCTTACCTTTCATTACGAACGTTTAGTAGGTAATCAATTTTCGAGTTTTTATCAAAATTTCTAAGTAGGCTGCAAAAAACTATAAAATTCATCATATTTAAATTATAAAATTTTTATATAACGTGTTATTAAATTTTTATTTGTTAGATGAAAAGTGTTTCTAATATAAAATCAAGAACATTTTAAATTGTCGTAGCTGTTGAGGTTAAATTCAAACAGCTTCATAGGTATCTTCAAGAAGCACAATGTCTTCCAACGGATCAAACGTATCTAATCCAAATTCTCCTGAACAAATTCTTAAAGGGAAGGATTTATTAGCTATTTTCCGTTTATGGGAAGAAACTCATAATGCCGCTGGATATGATCCTGTTCCAGTCCTGAAAAGGTAATAATGTATAATATATGTATGGCTGTATAATATTATGAAATAACCAAGGTATTAAAATGAAATTGTAGGCTTTCTGAAATATTTGAGGAAGAGACAGATATATATACGAGAAAAGATCCTGATCCTTTTGATGAAAGACATCCATCACGGACAGATCCAGATTGCGAACTAGGTCGATCTCTTAAATTACTTTTCAGAAGAGATCATTTTATGACTAAAGTAAAATTTCATGTGAATTTTTGTTTTTCTAACTGATCATTTCTTTTTCCAGCTTGTCAGTGATTATTTACGCGATAATTTTTATACAAGACAAAACATTCAAAAAAGTTCTTTAGATTTAAATATTGCAGCATGTCGTTTAATTCTTGTAATTATGCCAGGCTTGGAAACATCAGCAGTTTTCCAAGTAGATCACCAGAACTTGATAAATCGTATCTATAGCTGGGCTGAAGATAGTATAGAACCACTACAAAGTTATGCAACTGGTCTGCTGGCTGCGGCAATGGAAGTAAATGACATGGCAGTTAGTTTTCGAGATCACAATGCACGTTTAGTGCCGAAAATGCTTAAACGATTACACATGCTTCAAGCAATTACAAAGAGTAGAGAACAGGAAATGAAGGGAAAATCTAGTTCAGTAGGTAGCTTGGAATTGGAAGTGAATGGAAACGCAAGTCCGGTAGTATTGAATACAATAGATTCAGAGTTAAAAATAAAACTACCGAATTTTATGGCTGAACATAGTAAAGAAGAAGTAGAAAATATAGTTGGTGAAGCTGAAGTAAAAAAATCAGATTCAAAAAATCATGACTTCCTTGTTCCCAGTAATCTATTGAATGGACCTGGATCTGCTAATATCTCACCATTAATAGAAAATGACAATAGCGTAGATGCATCTGTTTCTCAAAGCCAAAAAGCTATAAAAAAATTTTGGATACCAATTCATCCTGCCACGACAGCAACAAGTCAAATGTTGATATTAAGATATTTATCATCCTTAGGCGAATATCAAGAAGTACTAGGACCCGTATTTGAGCACAATGCAATACAAATAATTTTTAATTATATTGAAAATTTAGATATAAGAGATACATGTTTAGCATTTGAAGCCTTAAAATATCTCGCATCCCTTTTATGTCATAAAAAATTTGCATTAGAATTTATCGGTAGAGGTGGCCTAGAATATTTATTGCAAGTACCGAGACCTAGTATAGCTGCAACAGGTGTTTCGATAACTATATACTATTTAGCTTATTGTGAAGAAGCTATGGAAAGAATATGTGCTATGCCAAAAAATATTGTGTCAAGTTTAGTAAAGTATGCACTGTGGTTACTAGGAAGATCCCACGATTCAGGAAAATGCCACGCTACTATGTTTTTCGGTTTAAGTTTTCAATTCAAAGTAATACTAGATGAGTTCGACAATCAAGATGGGTTGAGAAAGCTTTATAATTTGGTAAATATTTGTATTTAAGAAATTATCTTCTGTTTTTCCAAGAAATCGTTGAATTACCATTTTTTTTTCTCGATTTTTAGATTGCAGTACTTCCAATTTTGTCGGCGGAGGATAATAATGACATACTAAATGATGATGAGGAATGCGCTGCTAGACAATTGGTTCGACATGTTTGTGTAGCAATGAAAAAGTATATGGAATCTCACTTGTTTTTCAAATATAACCAAGTTATGAGACAACAATGTCCAACAAGTGATATATCACTTTCTATAAGCAAAGCAGTTAAATTGACACTCGAACAAATAAGTGATCAAGTTCGTAGTTTGCAAGAATGTCTACCATGGAAAGCTCATTGGGCGCCAGTAGATCAATTACTAAAATTAGGGGGCATTACTTTAATTTTGCGTATAATTGCCTATTCTTATGAATGGAATGGTATAGTTGGCAGGTATTTCGAAAAATTATAACAAACTAGAAATATAATATTAATTAAAAAAATTTTCCAGGGCTGAAACTGTCCGGTCTGCGCTAGATGTTTTGTCAATATGTTGTGTTGTGCCAAGAGTTTTTAATGCCTTTTGTGATAGATTGGAAGTGCCTGATAACCCAGCATCCGCAGGAATTAATGCAATTCTTGGGGCTGCGATAGGAGAAATATTAGCAGATGCCGATGTCCAAAAATCTGCTCTTGCAGTTCTTGTACATTGTGTGTGTGCTCCATTAAACAAGCAAGCATTTTATACTCGCTTTGGATTAACGAAAAGAAAAATTCCAAATAGATATAACGAAGAAATAGTTGAAAAAATATGGGAAAGCGTTTGCTCAAATAACGGTATAATAGTTCTACTTCAACTAATGCAAGTTAAAACACCAATCACAGATGCGGATTGTATACGAGGAATGGCATGTCGTGCTCTCGCAGGTTTGGCTAGATCTGAACGCGTGCGACAAATTATTGGTAAACTACCTCTATTTGCAAGCGGGCAAATTCAACATTTAATGCGCGATCCAATTCTTCAAGAAAAACGTGCAGAGCACGTAATTTTTCAAAAATATGCATTAGAATTACTTGAACGAGTTTCCGGAAAAGCGAAAACAGTGAATAATATGGATGCTTCCTTAGCAAATATTCATCGCGCTAATGTTGTAGCTCAAACTCGTATACAATATAACGAGAAACAGCTTATGCAACTGATTTATGAACATTTAGAATCTAAAGGTATGTCTTCAACTGCTGGAATGCTAATGAAAGAAGCTGGATTACAACCTTCAACACCACATGTGAAAAGCTTTCATTCTTCCCCATTTAGTTATAAAATTCCAACAAATCCTGTTCAACGTTCTAGAATTAGGTCAAGACCAGATTTTACAAATATAACTGGTGGAACAAGTGAAAACGCATCGATATTCAATCAAAATAATTCAACTTTTCTAACGATGTCACTATTAAATGGCTTTAGTTATCATAATACAGAATCTAACAGAGGTTTTTTAAATTACATTTTGTAATGAACATCTTGCAAATAATTTTTTATATTTTTGTAGTGTTTCATTTCAATGGAAATAATGCCAACAATATGGATGAAGTTCAATCAGTAACAGAAGTTACTGCAACAACCCCTATCAAATTAAAAAAATTAAATCCTCCATCAAATATCCAACCTTTTGTGAGCAATGTACAGCAACAAACGTCCCGTTCTCTGTCACTACAGAAGCAAATTTTACCTGGCGAAGATGTGAGCTCTTCAACAGTAGCAGTTAGCCAAATAGAAGAAACAACTCAACAGAACTCTCGTATATCACTTTCAACTATTGTAACAGAATATTTGACAAACCAACATGCTTTATGCAATAATCCTATATCAACCTGTCCCCAATTTGATTTATTTAAACCCCATAAATGTCCAGATCCAAAGCCAAATCGCGTAATAGATATTGAATACAATTTAACAGCTCGCCTTTTTAAAGCTCAATCAGGATTTAATACCATGCGATTTGATCGTCGATACGTCCATTCAAATTTTCGGTTGTGGAAGACAATTAGATCACAAACAAGTGATTACCCAGATGTGTTGTTTACTTGCTGTGATATTATGCCATGTACCAATTTAGTGATAGCCGGTACTCAACAAGGTGAAGCAAAGATTTTTAATATAAATGAAGGAAACGAAGGTTACTCAGCACCATGCCATAGTGCATCAATCGAAATGATTAAATGTAATCGTGACGGAACATTAGTGTTAACATCAGCATCCTGGAGATCACCTTTATCTGTATTATGGTCAGTTGGCACTAGAGAATTGAATAGTAAATTACAATTTGATGATGACTTCTATGTGGAATTCGCTAACTTAAGTATTGATAAGGCTCTAGGAACTAAAACCGAAAGTTCAAGTATATACGATTTAAATACAGGCCAAGTGATATCTACTTTTAAACCTAGTATTTCAAATCAATACACAAAAAATAGGGGAACATTTTGTCCAACCGATGAATTAATTTTGTCAGGTAAAATGCTAATCTTATGAATTTTTCAATTTGATTATTTTAACAAAAATCAAATATTTAGATGGGGTATTATTTGATGTTAAGTCTGGTAGAGAAATTCACAAATTTGACAAATTGAATCAAACATTATCCGGAGTCTTTCATCCAAATGGGTTAGAAGTAAGTTTCAGTATTTTTTTAATAAAAAGAAAATACTATTAAATATTAAAAAAAAAATAAAAAAACAATTAATTTTAATTCATTGTTTTAAAATTCAAGATTATTTCTAATACCGAAGTATGGGATTTAAGAACATTTCATTTACTGCAAACTATTCCTGTATTAGATCAATGTTTAATAAAATTTTCACCGCAAAATGTTATATACGGATTCAATGGTAGTACAGCAGATGATGGATTTGATTTAGATTCAACAAGCGGTTTCACTACGAGTTTTAAAGTTTTAGATGGTTACGATTATTCCAGTATATCAACAATTGATGTAAAGAAAAACATTTATGACTTAAGCGTCAATAAGTATGGTAGTTTTATCGCATTGGTTGAAAATCTTCCGGGTTATGAAAATGCAGATGAAACATTCCTTAAAATATATGCCGTTGGAATGAAGAAAAATGAAGAAGAAGTAAGTTTGGTTAAAGAATTTATTTTTATAAAGAATTCTGATATTAATTTGAACAAATGTTGATTCTCACTAATTAAAGGCTCCATTTCAGGAGGAAGAAGAAGAATTGGAAACAGATGAAGAAGGATCAGAAAGTGATGATTCGCAAGGTGAGAAGTTTTTTTTTCTATATTTTTGTATTTAATATACGTATTGATAGTAATATTCAATTTAGACGACTTTTTGGCCGAGGCTAATGGTGTTGGTAGACGTCCCAGAAGAAGAAATCGTCGAAACGAAAATGCTGAAGAAAATGATAGCAGTGATGAATGGCAAAGTCTTGAAAGTTTGGATGTCGATGAAAATGAAGATGAAGAGGATGCCGGAGGAAGCGGAGGTGATGATGAAGAAGAAAATAATGATTTTGATGATGATATGGCTGAACTCAATTTCGATTTAGTTGATTAAATTATTTTCAAAATACTATTTGTTTAAAATGCAAAAATGTTTCAAAAATGCAGTCCAAAATTTTTGATCGAACTTTAATAAGAAGAAAAATATTTTCGTTCTTTTGATTATTATAAGAAAAAATTTTTTGAAATGACGAAAATTGTTTGGAAAAAAAAAATATACAAAAGAAATGAAACGAATACCAAATTAAAAATTAGTAAAACTCGAATGAATTTGTTAAATTTTGTCAATTTCTAATGTTATGAAGTTATATGGATCTTCATGTTATCTTGTAAATATTAGAAAAGAAAACAAATTAATATATTTTTTCTTAAACTGATTTAACATTGTAATTAAAAATGAAGACCTAAACCAAAAAAAATAATAAAAACAAAAAAGTGTCGTAAAAAAACAATTTTTGTAAGTTACCAAGTTATAATATATAAACGTTTGTATATATGTAGCATTTTCATTTTAAATTATTTTCTGTTTATGTAGCTTCTAGGTTAAATACATATAATTATTATATGACTTAAATGGTGAGTCAATAAATTACTATATTTTACGCAAAATGTATGAAAACTAATTTTGTATAATGTACATACATATATATATATTTTAGTTACTACATTCGACAATTCAATATTGAACTTTTCAAAATAGAACCCTGGACTGCAGTGTTAATGATTTTGTAATAAATTTTGCAAACTCGGCAACAAAAAAATCAAGTAAACGATTCTTATTTTGTAGAACCATATCTCCTGTAGAACTGATTCTCGTAGTAACTCGTAGTAACAATAGTTCCAAAGAGGAACAACAGTTCGTCTCATCTATTGTCCCAATGTTAAATTGCGCATGCTTCCTTTTTAAACTTTTAATTTATAAACTTTATACATGAAATTGATTCAAAGTTTATTACTATAATTTTTCATTACTTTTATAAAACTATAATCTAACAAATATGCATACTTATATATTACGGATAATATGCGAAACCAAGTACATACAACATACTTATGCGATATACTGGATACGAAAATTAACACAACAATTGATTCAAAAACTGTCACCTTAAACATTATTTTCATATTTTAAGCTTTGCTAATGATTTTAAATATATATATGTATATAGGTACAGTATAATAGTTAAATACAAAACATCATGTATTTTTCTAAATACAAAATAGCCTAAAGGAAAGAATAACCTTTAATTCAAAATATTACTTTTTAAAAAAATAAAGAGAAAAAAAAATTTTGTTGCTTTATATTTATTTTCTCGACTTATCAATTAAACAAAGATATTTTTATACTAACAACTTGCTTAATATCATAAAGATTTTCATATTCGGAATAAACAAGTTCAAATTTAGAAAAATTATTAATTCTGGAAGCGATCTATTTTGTAAATTTAACGAATAAATTTATAATTTTATATTATCACCGCCACACCGCCATACTTTTCTTAATTTCCTGATTACAATTATTAAATTACAAATTTAATTAAAATTTTAAAAAATAAAATTTGCTGAAAATTGAATTCTCATTTTGAATACTTAAAACAAATTTCTTAGAAACTATTGGTGCTTATTACCATAGGTAATTTTTGCTATACTTTTAGTAAAACACACCAAACATCTTTTGTTAAATATAAATGTGATTATAAATTAAAAATCAAATGAATTCTCATCTAAATCTATGGAAGTCGCTAAATTTTATGAATTTATATACTTTTGTAGCCCTGAATTCATATATGTACATGTTTTCTATGTAATGTAGATCTTATGCAAAATTAATAAACTAATCGAGAAAATAACTTCATTACTGATTTTTCGAAAGTATTTAATTTAATATTATAATATTTTAATTGAATACAAAAATTTTTTATATATGTACATATTTAAAAATTATCATAAAAGTGCATAATTCAAGTTTTATATTCATTTTATTATATTATAATTAAATTTTCATTTCCATAATCTTATGTATGAAATTTAAAATTCATATATAGCTAGAGCTACAATATTTTAACAAAAAATTGTTTTCAAGTTCAATATAAAACATTTTAATAATCAAGGATTTTTTACATAATGGAAATTAATAATTTTTCCTTTAAAATATAATGTTAATAAACATAATATTTATTATTATGTACAGAAATATATGAAAACATTTTAATCTTTATTTAAAAAAATAAAAAATTACAAAATTTATTAGATATTTTAATTATCGCATAATATCTTATTTATATTTTGATTTTTTCGTATAATTTTGCAATAAAATTATACAAAATTAATTTAATATTTATTTCTATTAAAAAAAATATTATTTTAATTAATATTATATGGAAAATAACCTTCCTTGCATGTAGTTTAAAAATAATTAATATTATCGTTGGTCAGGGTGTCTGGTAGTCCTTTATAATTAAATTTTATTTAAAAATTTTAAATAATTTTTTTTATGTTCAATCCCGAGATTTTCCTGTGACAACTGCAACGAATACAAATTTTCATCTTCGACATAATACAGAACTTAATGCTGCAATATACCCACTTTATTTGCCTTCTTCTGTTAGCATAGAAGACCCTTGTTTTACATACGCGTATCAAATTCGAAAAAATTGAATTTACAAACAATTACTCCCATATTTCAACATATAAATAAACTTGTGTATTAATGATCTTATATATGTATAACATTTTAGTTAAAATCGCCCTGACAATCAACAAAATTCATTACGATCCGTATTATTAATATGAAACTACATATACAAAAGGTATCATAAATATTTAACAGTTGGGGCGGGGGGAGTTGTGCGAATAACAAATATCTTATTTTAAATCCAAATTCATTCGACATATTTACAGTCGATTCAAATATCCGAATAATATTCACTTTAAAACTCAAATAAATTACGACGTCATCAAATATTTTGTAATTTATGCACGTGACTATACAATATTGTATAGGATTTCCAGTTGAAACAAAATATCAGTAACTGAAAACGTATATAATATTCTAATGATTAAAAAGAATTTTCATTAAATATTACAAATTAATTAAGTATATTATATACTACGCAAAATAAACAGTATATTATGTATTCTATATAAATATAATTTAAGGTATATGAGAAAATTTATTAACATTTTATTCTAATATCTTTGTATTTACTCATAAATATTTTGATTATACCTCGTTATACATAATATTTAACCTTTTACAAGTATCATAATATTACAAATATAATGATTACATCATATTATATCCCACCTATATATATATGTGTACATACATATATGTATATAACATTATTCTGATAAAAAAGGCATGTAATATTCTGTGGCCATAAGATAAAAAATCGGCGATTTCTTAATACACATTTGAATTTTTTGACGATTTCCTTAACCCTTTCCACTCCAATGTCGAGTGTCGCTCGACACTAATTTTGTTCCACTAGCTTTACTGTCGAGTGATACTCGACATTGTGTAATACCTGTTAAATTTAAAAGTAAAAATTTTATCGATACTTCATAATAAAACTAGTTGTTATCGCACCGTTATATGTTCGCGTCGTAAACAACTTATCTATGTGCTTCATCTGTTAGCGTAGAACGGCAAAATTAACTTTTCAGTATTTTGCCTAACAACTATACCTAACGATAGTAGTAGAATAGCATTTTAGACTATTTTACCTTAATCGGTTAAAGTCGCAACGGTTATTTCGCTTTATTATGGCAGTCTGGATAGTTCCATATGTATGTATTCTCAATGAATTTTGCCATTTCGTCTCAGAAAATCACTCTTTTTCTGCTTTCCACATAACCTGATTTTATTTCAATAGTCATTAAAATCTTTCCAAAAATGATTTTAAATCTTTTCAACTGAATTTACTTGAAGCTATAGAAAATCTAACTTAGACAATTTTTTCATGTTACCACAGATTATAATATTATTTACAATATAATATAATAATGTAGATGATAATGATAATATAATTTTGTATTTTAACAAAATGCATAACTATAAGAAAAAGCAAAAAAGGCAAAAAAAAATCAAAACTCCTAAATGTCATTGCTATTAAAACCAAAATAAGTTCGAATGTGCGCTACAATTTAAGCTTTTCTTTTTTATTTTCTGATTTTTCATAATTTTCAATTTTTTTTTTTAAATGTTTATTCTTATTATGTCTATATTTAAAAAAAAAAACCAAAAAACAAACCAAAAAAAAAAAAATTAAAATTTTTTTTCAGCTTAATATGCTTTTTTTTTTTTTTAGTTTATCTTAGCAATTAGCCGTGTTCGGTTCAACAATAGTGATCTCTACTCTTTTTTTTTTTTCGATTTTCTTTTGATTTTTTTTATTTATTTTAGCGCGTTTTTTAATTCATTTTTATAAAAAATCAACAAAATATTTTCGAATTCGAAATTCCGGCAAAATTTTTGTAAAAATTTTACTTTTATTTTTTTGTTTTTATTATTTAAAATTATTTAATTGCAATATAAGAGTGTTATTTTTTTTAAGGTTGGATTCTAAGATATTGAAAAAGCAAATAATTGAATTTAAAAATTGAAATTTAATTAAATAAAAAATTTTATTATAACAGTAATATTAAAGTGATTTAGTGATGAAACAATTGAATATTGAATATTTTTATAGGAAATAGGCGGAAATTCAATATTTGAACAAATTTTTTTATTTGATTATATTTTTTTTTTCTATGTAAATCTTATTTTACCTTAAAATTTTTTGTATTGAAATAAGGATGGAGTTTTAATTACACAATATTGTAGAAGATTTAAAATAAGCAGCTTAAAAATTTTTAATTATTTTTATTTTATTTTATTAATTTACTATTTATTTATTTTTCTGTAATTGAAATTAATCAATTATTGCAATTTGAATTTAAATATTTCGAACTCGTTTGTTTTTTGTAAAGCAAAACAATTACTATACGTAGTATACGTGATCCTATAATATACAATATAAAGGAAAATACTAAAATACTACTATACCTTTTCGAAAAATACTTAATTTTGATTTTTTATCAAAACTATTTGTTAAACAGGGATTTATTCTATATTGAATTTTAAAAATGAAATTTTTAGCATTAACTTATTTTATAACTTTAGTTTCCTTTTTTATAATTAAATTTTTATGAACAATAAATATTTATACATAATTATTTTTATTTGAATTAAAAATATGTAGGTGCATTCTTTTAATTTTAATTCATTTTAATAATAATTTAACTCTAATTTAAACAAAACATTTTCCGAAGAAGTTCTTTTCTTTACGGAGCCTTTCAAAATTAATGTCTTCAAATTTTTTGAATTTGTACATTTGTATTTAGTTTGTCGTATAACAATATTGTTCTTTAATATTTAAATAAATAGTTAAAAATATAATTGAAAAATAAATAAAAAATTTATTTATAATTAATTAAATTTTTATAATTAAATTTGATTAAATAATGAAATTTAATTAATTAAAATACCATTACAAATTGATTTTTTCTTATTTGTTTTTAAAACACTACAACGACTGAGATATACTTTAACAACTTTTATTTTTATTAAAAAGAACTTAAGAAAAAACTACTTAAATATCAGTAATAAAATAAATAGGAAAGATAACAAAGATAAGAATATAAGTACATTATGTATGTACAATAATTAGAGTTTTCTATATAATAGGTTAATTATGCATATGTACATATATTTACAAACTCTTGATTTTAATCTAAGAACAAATTGTCAACGAAAACAAAAATATTGCAAAAATAATAATATTTAAAAAATAAAATTTCACAATATTCTTTTAAATACAAGATAACATAACGGGTTCGGAATCACAATGCGGTCTAGGCAATCTAATATTTTTTCTCGAAAAAATTGAATATTAAAAATATAAGTGCTTGAAATGTATATATACATATTTCCAAAATTGCCATCCTTGTTCTAAGCCTATCATTTATAATTTTAGAAAAAATTTCTTAAAAATTAACATCAGAATTCTCAAAAAAATACATACGCAACGCAAGTATACCTATAATATTAATTATACACAGTCATGTTAATTAACATAGCATTTATTTGAAATTAAGAATATTAATTTATTTTTAATAACTAGAATAATATTGATCTTGTTATTTCATTCAATTTTTCATATATCAAGTATAACAATTAGAAGCGTTAATAAATTAGTTAAGTATTAAAAATAATTATATATTTCAAATATAATTCTGCAATTAATAATTGATCTCACAATATTATGTAATTAATTCAATAATTGGGACTTATAATTATTATTGTAAACTTGTTATATCGGTTATTTATATAATATAAATATAATAAAAACTAATTTCAAATTCATATGAAAATAATTTCCTTGCAGGATTGCATAATTAAGAAAAATAAACAAAAAATACGCTTTTATACACAGTATACATTATTAATACCTAATAATTCAGCTTATAATATTTACTTAGTTGCTGATTAAACTAACAAACACTATTATTACTGCAATTTAAAAGTCCAGATTTTATTAATATTTTCAATTTAGATACGCCACAAAGTATGCAATTTTATTTAAAATAGGCATATAATATGTAAAGCAAAATGTAGAGCAGAACAATATTTTATCCTTTAGTGTTTATAATCTCATAAAACCTGAATTAAAATCAAGAATTAATTCAAATATGCTCCAATTTTATCACGTTACGCGAATATACTTGAGAATTGCAATGTTTCTCAATGAAAAAATTTCTATAATTTATTAATTTATTATCCATAAATTCTTATTCATTTTTTCTATTTATAAAATTGTATATTAAATTTTCTAATTCATTAATTTTCATTATTATCTCAAACTTTCACGTTTGATTATGAATGAAAATATGGAATTTTTTAAGAAACAAACAATAAAGGTTTACAACGATAAAAAAAAATATTTATGAAAATTTGAATAATATTTTGTTCTACTTAGTATCGAATTTTTGTTTAATTTTTTGTAGCTTTTTTTTTCCTTCTTTTTTTTCGGATTGCTGATCTCTCAATTTATTCTGTAAACAAAAAAAAAAATTCTAAAAATAAAAAATTTCATAAATAAACAATATATAACAAAATAATTTAACAAACTTGTGTTGTGTGTGTATATTAGTTCTATTTAAAATTAAAATATTTACAAAAAGAAATTACAATATATTTTAGTTAAAAAAATTATCAACTTATTGAAATAGTAAAAAGAAAACGTGAATTTTTTTTTTACATACTTACTTATAAAGAAATAGAATCAAAAGTTATTTTAATGATGAAAGCTAGTGATTTAGCTTTAGCTCGAGCAATGTATGTTAATTTTATTATTTTTTATTATTTTGAAACAAAAAAAAAAATTATTATGTTATTTTCTATTTTTGGATTTTATTCAAAAAATTATATATGTACATACCTATAGATGTGTATAACATATTAATAATAATAATTTATATTAAAATTAATACAATTCAAGGGTTGCAGAATCAAATTCACCTGGTGGTCAACAATTACCATTAAGAAAAGTTATCGATAAAGCAAAACAATTCCGGTAAGTAGATAGCTAAAAATTATAAAAGAATATAAAAATATTTTATTTATAATATATCGTGTTTGTAACATTGTCGGAGTATATATACATATATAAGTATAGTTTCCATATTATAGCTTATAAATAATTTATTGCAAACTATATAGTGTGAGTACATATACAGAAATAGATTTGTATCTATTCCTAAATTATACATAATATATTAAATTTTAGGAGAAAATTATTTGCATATATACATACATAGTATTATTATTATTATTATTATTATTATTATTATTATTATTATTATTATTATTATTATTATTATTAATATTATTATTATAATTATTATTGCGTTGAAATTTCAAAAAAAAATTCAGTCGTTTCGAATTAAGTAATTTCCAAGTTGTATACACAGAGGAATAATGACTTTGTATATAAGTATACCAAGTATATAGAACATTTAGATTTATAAACATAAACCTATAACAATAAAATTTGAAATTAATTTTTTTTTTTACGGAAGCATATTAAAAATTTTGATTCTCTAACAGAACAATGATTACGCTTTCAATGTTTGTTAAATTAAAATTTTTTTTGTTTTAATATAGAAAGATATGAAAATCTGCAAAGAGCTAACAGAAACGCCCTCTGTTTTCAAAATTCGCTAAATAAAATTTAATTTCTTATTTTGAAATAAAAAGATGGGAATATTGAACAAAATTTAAGCGGTAAAATGAAAATTAAATTGTTTCATTTTGTTATAAAATTCATACATACATAATATACTTAAATATGTCAAAAACTAACATAAAACTATAAATAATGATCTGTCATCTACATATATGCAGATATAACGTATATATGTAAATTATTATTCTACGAACATTTTAAAAATATAAATTTTAAAATTCGAATTACAAAAAAATAATTACAATTTACAAAAAGTTCATAATAAACTACAGTACTATTTTTAAAATCTAAAATGTACTATTCTATTAAAGTTATTAATTTTCTTTTCCGATAAATGTTGTTATGGGTTAATAGTTTAATCCTATTTACATTATATCCAATATGTAAACATGTACATATTTTTTTGTTTAACATCAGTATAACAGTTAATTAACACGTGTTCTTTTGAATTCTATATAAACAATCTCCAAGATTCAACTGTGCTATAATTTGGAAAATTATATTTACATTGTTTACATTTAATTCCGAAAGATGTCTTTATTTAGAGCGTTTCAATTTACCGAAGAAATTTTGAATTTTTCCTTATTATTTAATATACTATTATATTCCTTAATTAATTTATATTAAAAATCACTGAAATTCATAAAATAATTTTACTTTTTGATTCAAACAAAATTTTATAAAAAAATATTATTGTTTTTGTTTATATAATTATTTTTATTTAAATTATAAAGATGTCGCTTTCTTATCTGTCACTAATATTAAAATGCAGTTCTTTTACTACACTTATTTTTGAAATGTCATAAAATGTTATTAATAAAAAAAAAAAAAAAACAACAGAACAGAAAAACAAAATATTACACATTGGTGTTTTCGTATTGGCCCGTATAGTAAAAATTAGAAAGTCGAAAATTGTGGTGGTGATTTTTTTTAAGTTTTTTCAATTTTTTTCCTTTCTTCAATATAAAAGAATAATAAATTTTATTGTTTATAATAATTGAAACAATGAAAAATATTAAGATATAAACAAATTATATATATATATTTTAAATAGTATAAAAATTAGTTAACAAATAAATTTTATCTTTTTTGTATAATTACCACTTTTTTTTTACTACATACCTACTTGAATAACTTGAATAAAAATTTTTTTTTTCTCCTTTGCAATTTCCTAATGAACTTTACTGTCATGTCACAATCACACAATAATGAAAACATCAGATTTTTGTTTTCATTTACAAAACTGACAATTGAAAAAAAAAAAAAAAGTGTACTTAATTTTATTTAAATAATAAATTTATTAAAAAATCATTTTTTTTTTAAAATAATTAAATGATAAAAGTTTAAAATTATTTAAATTATGATTACAACATTAAAATATTTGATGACGAAGTCCTGAATTGTTATAACAAAAAAAAACAGCCATGCCAAATAAAACAAGTTTTACCAAAATAGTTCAACTATATTAATTATAAATTATATTATTTGCATTTAAATTAGCAAAAGATTATAAATATAAGAGAATTATATTAATAATATTATTCAATATTTTAACAATAACCAACAACTTATAAACCTACTCAATATAAAAATAATGTGCTATAAATGAAGGTGTCAATATTATAAAATTTTGAGAACCCGGATTTAAAATACCTTTTTTTTTTTTGTTTTTTGTTAAAATACACATATTTTAATTAGAAATTCATTTAAAATTGAATATTAAAAATTAATTATTAATAATGGATACATCAACACAAAATACAAATGTATTATTAAAAAATACTGAGAATGATATTGAAAAACAAAGTCAAATGATAAAACAACATACAAATAGTTATCTAAATCAGCAACAACAAGAAAATGAAAATCCACATGATGTAGAATTGATTAAGGAATGGCTGTAAGTTAATATTAATTTTTTTTTTTTTTACAGATTTATATTACTTAATTGCAATACTTTATTACTTAATTGTAATACTTTTTTTTATTAGAAAAAAAAAAAAAATTGTAGTAGAATGAAAAAAAAAATAATTGCAGAATAATAAAATGATTGCATTTATTATTGCTGCACTGCTCGGGAATCGAACCCGAATCGCAAGAATGGGAATCTTGCATGATACCATTACACCAGCAGTGCCCAACTTGTTTTTGTGCAAAATATTATATTAGAAATAATTGTAATATCTATATTATATACTACATTATCTATAAATATAATTTATATACGACTATAAATTGTGTATCTTGAATATTGTGCATTACAATTTGATTGAATTTTAATATTGTACAATTAGAGTGTTATCAGATAAAAAATATTGCTGTAATACTTATAGTTTTTTTTTTTAATTTAATTAAAAAAATTATGATGCTGCATTTTTTTTTTTTTGTATCAAGTTTTTATTAAAAATATAATATAAAAATTGTAACTCGTAATTGTCTATTTCAAACTCACTTATTCCTAACTCTGGTAAAGTAAATAAGTTTAAATGTACGTACCAAGGTAATTAAAATTTACTGCTCTGATAATGACTATTAAATTACGATAATCAATAAGCAATCATAAATGGATTTGAAATAATTAAATATTATTATGTATAACAGTTTCATTTATAATATTTATTAAGATTTTTTTTTACTACCATCACTTACATTGGAACTCCTATTTGGCAAACATTAATTTAAAATAAATTTGGTAGGCAATTACCTACTAGGCAGTACTTACATTTCAAAATGTTTGTCAATTTACACATTACTTATTTACTTACTTACAGTCATATCTTTTATCATATCTATCTTATTTCATTTTAGCCTTAGATAATTATCTTAAATATAATATTGTCTTAAATAATCATGTTAAAAGTCCTTTTAATTTGGTTACTTAATAAGTTTTGTTATTTAATAACCAGGCAAATCCGTCTATTTCCGAATGTTGTTAATTTGTTCCCCCAATTGCGGCAAATAGAACAATTATTATTATTAGGGGTCAATGTTAGATAAAAATAATTATAAATACATACTCGTACCTATAAAATCATTGAAATTTAATTAAAATTTTACACTTTACAAAAAACGAGAATTCGCGATGAACTTAAAAATGTGTTCTCTTTTTGAAAACTGTCAAGTGTCTACTTTTCAAATTAAAAGTTTTTAACACTTTTGTTTGAGACAAAAAGTGACAAAAAAACAGAACAAAAAATAAACTCTTTGTATTTCAGTAAATGTTAATGACACAATTAAAATTTTTCTTTTACTTTAATAGAGCTTAAATGAAAAAAAATATTATGACTCTCGTACATTCAAATACATATAAAATACGTACATACATATGTATGTATACGTACATACATTTTTAAAAATCATTCATCAGAAACGCTGTGCCATCCAATTTCTTATACAACTTACTGAACGTTTCTAAAATGATTTAATTTTTATTTTTTGATATTTTTTGATGGTCATCTGCCGGTTAACTATAACGGTTCTTTTTTTTTTCTCTTGAAAAAATCACATTTCCTTCCTTGTTTATAATAACACTAAATAGTTAGTGACATTATGAACAATACATTCAAAGTCAAAATAAACAAAAAACAAAAAAATATTGAAAAATAAACGCAATTTTTTATTTTTTGCCCAGGTATTGAAGTGATTTTTAGTCAATATGCCCGGTTTTCTATGCCTTCCTATCAAAACTAATTATACTTTTAAATTATATACTTAAAAGAGAAGAAAAGAAATAAAAAAAATTAATATATTAAAAAAGAAAAAAAAAGAGAGCGAAAGCTAAAGCTCTTCTATAAAAAAAAATGCTTTGCTAGATTGTTATAAAAAATTATGAGAGGGTATTATGAATAATAATTTACTTACATAAATTATAATTTTTAAGGAAAATTTTGTTACAATATTTTACATGGCTTATTCAATAAAAACTTAAATAGCCACCATTAATTATACTTAGTAAATAATGAAAATTGTCGTAACTGCTTAAAACATTAAAAAGTTTACGACTCAATTATGTCTTTTTTAATTCTACTTTTGTAATTTCGGTGAATTCTAACTTTTTTGCATAATATTAGGCTTACGGTAATATAACAACTATGCATTTCAAGTTTTAACATTATACATACTTACATACATACATATTTAGTTTTACCTTTAGAACTAAAAAGTTCACGGCTTTTAAACGAACTTGCCAATATCAATTTATTAAATGAATATTATCAAATAACAAATTTCTCTAATTGATTTCTGAGATTTTTTTTCTGAATTGTAATTCAATTTTTTTACAATTTTACATCGGACATTTCCTTCTTGATGTCGTTCACTAGTTGGAG